AAAAAAAAAAGAAAAGCATATCAAGTGGTGTTATGCTATACTGTATTTCTAATGGATAACCAATGTCATTTCACAAGAAAAAGCCCTGAAAAATAAATATAAAATCTAACTGAAAAAATGATTTGAAGATGGGACTATAATCACAAGGAACAATTTGATACGCAGAGGAAAATTCCTCCCCTTATTTTGGAGAACACATCTTAACTCTCAAGGCCTAAACTACCTCTCTTAAAGTCTAGAAATCCATTTAAAGCTTTTATCACTGCACACGCCTTTTCTTATACTTTTCCCTCAAGGTAGGTATGGCTCCTGATGCCTCGTCGGAGGAAGGCACAGCGTTTCCCTCACCATTGCAGTACTCCAGCTCAATCAGCAGGGTGGTGTTGTCCACGAAGTGGTTGTAGTAGGCGATAATGTTGTCATGCTGCAGCAGGGCCAGAATAACGATCTCGTTCAAGGCATCACGACGTTCCTTCTCAGACAGTCGGGTCAAATCAACTTCCTTCCACACAACCAGTGAGTCATCCTACAACACAGTAACAGAGGTGTTGTGCTTTTCTCCTGCCCAGAAATGCATGAATCCACACCTGGATCTGTCAGGCTAGAAGGAAAATTTCCTAGGACAAAGATCAACTCTTACTACTTTTTCCTTTAAGTAGACTTTCATTAAAAGGAGTTTGCATGCAGTTGAGCACTGTAATTTCCTGCAGTATTGGGGAAAGTGTTAAGATATTGCTATTACATTTTATTTTAGAGCAAAGTAAAAAATGGAATGGGAGGGGCTAGGAAGGTGGCTCAGTGAAATAAGTGCTTCTCTGGCAAGTGCAAGAGCCTGAGTTCAATCCCTGGTTCCGCCAAAAAAAAAAAAAAGGAATGAGGTCAGGTCAACTGCATGCAAACTCCTTTTAATTAAAGTCTGCTTAAAGGAAATGCTTAAATGAGGTCAGATCCCTAAGAGTCCACTGAAGGACACTACAAGTCTGCTAATTAAGGGGAAGGCTGCACAAATTTTCTGATCAAGAGATTATGGGGCCACAGAGGAAAGTGATCGATGATGTAGAGTGTGCCTACGGAGAGTCACATGGAGAGAAAACATTCTCTCAGGCTTTCACAGAGAGCAAACTGGTCAAGCAATGGCCGTGACTCATCCACATGGCTGACACTGACAAAGGATCTACAAACTGCGGTACAGGGTTTGGGGATAACTCCTGAGGGGATTTGGCTGACCTTATCAGATCCAAAAGTTGTATTTCTTGTTATATAGGTTTTGCTTTACCTTGATCTTAACCATCCAGCAGAAAAGTATAAAAATAAGGTATAAAAAGTAGAGAAAAAAAAAAAAAAAGTAGAGCCATATTAATATGCTGAGCTGTAAAAGGCTCAAGTCAACAACTTCTGACATTGCCAGTCTTTTGGAAAACCCACCACTATTACGGATTACTGGACTATATTGGATTATTTTGCTGAATTCATGTACCTACAATATTTAAATGACAATGGGATGCCCATCTCTGACAAAACTAACCAAAAAAGGGGGCTACAAATGAACAACCATTTTGTATCTGTATACTCAAAATAGGATAGATATACAGCTGCATTCTCTTAACTCAATGAATACAGAGATTTGTTCCAATAGTGTTTGTGGACAGGGTATCATATCTTACTCATTCATCTTGTACAATGAATAACCACCAAAACAATAATATGCAATGTATTTATTATTGAAACTGTGCTAGTAATCGGTTTTGAAACTGTCTCACTGCTATTTCTCAATAAACTTTTTCTAGCCCTGCAGCAGGGCTAGAGTGTTGGGGAAACAGACAACTAGACGGCAGTTATCTAGAGATGACCACAGCTTCTTGTAAAATGCAGTCTATTTGCCTCTAAGTTTGTAAGTTACGGATTTCTCTTATCGCCTTCCACTTGCCCTGACAAGCCAATCCCATTCTGCAACTTTACTAATATCCTATCACTTACGTATCACATTTCCTTCTATTCATGAAAATCTACTTGCAGCTCCTGATGTGTACTCCCTTTTGGATCTCTAATTCTTTACGAACACCCCCACCTACATAATTACCCCCATCCTTCTGAATGCCTCTCCCAAGCCTCTAAAATTTCACTGGGGAAAAATTTGATGATCATTTTTCTGTACATTTACTTAATGCAACCACTACTTTAAGTTTCAGTACTCATACATTAAGTGATACCTTCATTCTTTTTCATTTATATATGTACACAACTGAAATGCTTAGTAACATGACTAAATATAGCTAATTTGTCTTTTTCTTGAGGTAAGCTTCTAAAGGAAAAGGGCTGTTTATAAATCATAGATCCAGTAAATAAATGGTGTTAGAAACAATGCTATACAGTTCTAGGGAAATGTAATAAAATTTAACTAAACCTAGTAATCAAGATCAATATGGGCTGGGGAGATAAAGTGACTGCTGGCAAGCACAAGGTCCTGGAAACAAAAGTAGTAAGGTAAGAGAGGGAGGTGGGCAAGAAGACGTGAAACTCTAGTTGTAGTTCAAGATTTACTTCTAACTTTAAGTGGGCAAGTGACTTAAATATACTGCTTTAGCTTCTCTGAAAAAATGGGAACACCAATGCGAGAATGCAAATAAGCTACCAAGAGTAACAGTAACTCCTAACACTGCACATCAACTAGGCATTAGGAAAAAAAGGCATTAGGAACGAAGATACTCTCTTGAAGCCACTACTCTTTTTTGTTTCTCAGCCTTCAACATATGCCAATGTGGCACAGGTGGCAGAACTGCGGATGGGTCACTGACTGACGCGTCACCAGCAGCAATCCCAGCAAGTTTTCATAGAATGCTTATCCTAAAGCTAGAGTTTAAAAACTCTAGTGACTAAATCGTTTATGGTTAGTTTTTGGAAGCAGAATTACTGCTGCAGGGTTTCAAATCAGTATATTCTTAAATTTGGGAGTTCTTGATCCATCCATCCTGTCTCCAAAAGGACATGCCCATGTGCAAATGGGAGAGGGTTCTCCTGGTTTACCAGGGGATCACAGGCGCCCTCAACAGCTAACACGGCTCAGAATACACACGTATTTCCTGTGCACAAGCGCTGCAGATAACACTTAGGAAGATGCCAACAACACAGGGATCTTCCCTGATCTCACGGAAAAACCTCCAATTGAGTGATCATTTCCGAACTTAATGGCAACAGTTGCCACTGGTGTAGCCTCTTTGAAGCTACGCCCCCTCCTCTGAGCTACACGCTACAGGAAGTTTTGGCAGTACTTCACTTTCGTACACCACTTCAACCTAGAGTTCACAAAAAACCTTCGTTTGATTATTAAAAAAGGAAAAAAAAAAGATTTCTAAAGGCAGTTAACACTACGTCCGTTTTACAGATGGGGAGACTAAAAAGCAGAGGCGGTTCAGGGATTTGCTGAGGTCCTCGGGTTAAGCAAAAGCGACCAGTTAGCGAAATCCGGGAACTACCCAACCCCCAGGGCGGGGAGTAGGCGAGCGGCGGAGCCCCGGGACGAACGCACGCGGGCGCCTACGCCGGTCCAGCGAGGGCTGGGGGCCGGGGCG